CTAAACTCATTGTTGAGCTGGCTTTCCTCTCAACAATTCAAAATCGAGCTGGTTTCCTCTCGAATTGGCTTACGACCGAGCTGGTTTCCTCTCGGAACTACTACACACACACGGTATCAAGTTGGTTTCCTCTCGATATCTAGCTACACATACTATATTGAGCTGGTTTCCTCTCAATATCAGTTTTAACATTTTTGCCTATTTTCATTATTTTATTTTTTAATAATTTATCAATAATTATATAATAATAATTATCATAATTAAAATTATTTAGAAAAAAAATGTTATCTACACTTTGAGGTTAATATATATTTTTAAGTTATTTTTATTTTATAAAGGGATAATTTTTAGCGACAGAATATTTTATATAAAAAAATATACAAAAATTAAATATTGATTTATTTTAAATTTTTACCGGACTAGTTCAGAAAATGCTAGAAAGTTTCCTAGCAAACCGCGGAGAGGGGGAGGTAAGGAGAAAAACACATTAATCACTTCATTGAATTTAATTTGATTTTAATATTTATTAATTTCAATTTTATTTATTTTTTTTTATTATTAAAAAATGCACTTAATTATTCGGCCTATGGCCGAATTTACAAAAGTTATTCCGCTGACATGCGGTGAGCAAACATCACTTATTTTTTTTATTTTCACTTCTAATTTTATTTATTTTATTTATTGCCAATCTGGCGAGAAATGTCAAATTTTAATTACTGGGACTCACCGTGTATACGACGCCGACCCCGCATTCCGCCTCGTCCAGACATGGATATTTTATTAAATTTAACTATTAGAAAAATCTTTGGCCTGCTACCTGACTCACCATCAAAACGAGAATAAAATTAAATGGCTGAACTTTGACTTTAGTCGGCGTCACCTTTCACGCTTTCTTTTTGGTGGTGAGTCCCAGTGAAAGTAATTAATTACTTTCTATGTGTCGATAATCAATATATCGCGCGTCGATAAATTTCATCGATGTTGCTGGTAAAGTAGATCGCAACTCGACCAGAGGGCGTAGTGGTGTCCTCTAATCCAAAATGGTTGCCCCCATTATTGACAGGATCAAAACAAATAATATTCTTTCGACTTCCTGGTGCTCTTGAATATTCAGGAATCTCATCCAAATATATGCACCAGGAAGCACTTCCCCTGCTGACATCGTAACAGGCGAGCGACCAGAATGGATATTGTCGACAATTCCTCAGGATAACATAAAACACATTTTGGGAACGCGAGTATACAATTTTTATATTAATCAAAATAATACGAGAGTGATTCGACGAGTTGGCAGGCTTAATTTATTATTTTACTTTAATTTTATTAATACAATCAAATAATTATTTATTTTCTCTAATCTCTTATTTTATTCATTTTAGGAAAAGGAAGATTCCCATTTTGATGGAGTGATTTTTAAATAATTTAATTATTGTGTGTGGCAAAATGCCACGTCACACAGTATATTACACACAATACCGAGCTAGTTTTCCTCTCAGCTACACTACACATACACAGTGTCGAGTTGGTTTTCCTCTCACACATCACTACTATATCGAGTTGGTTTTCCTCTCAATAGTAGTATATTGTACGACATAATACCGAGCTGGTTTTCCTCTCGGAACACTACACATACACGGTGTCGAGTTGGTTTTCCTCTCACACATCACTACTATATCGAGTTGGTTTTCCTCTCAATAGTAGTATATTGTGCGACATAGTACCGAGCTGGTTTCCCTCTTGGATACATTACACACCTACATTACCGAGCTGGTTTTCCTCTCGGCTACACTACAGATACACATAATCGAGTTGGTTTCCTCTCGATATTGGAATACAAACTACTTTCTCTTTTTTTTAAATTAAACAATCAAACAATCGCTCTTCTCTTTCTCTTTACCCAACTTTAATGAATTTAAAGTTACTTTGCCACTATTTCGCTGTACCTTTGAAAAACTCCCCATTGGCTATGAAGCAAAATAGATTTGGCCGTTGCCCAGTTACTCCCTCTACAGTGACCGGTGTCAGTATTTATTTGTTTTTAATATTAAATATTTTTATATTTAATATATAAACCACCTCAGATACATTTGCATTTGAATGTCACATCTAGCAGACGATATTTTAGAGGAAAATTCCATGTTCCTCCTTTCAACGTTACGAGCGCTAGTGTTGCTAACGCAACGCATTCGCAAAGAGAAAAGAAAATCCAGCTTCAACTTTTTTTCCCAAGAGGGAGCTCCTTATACTACTTCGTGTTTAAAACACTTGTTTATATTTTCCTAACCTTCAATTTGCTTTGGATTATTCTGACAGCTATTTTCGACATTAGCGCCTCCTAGTTGAATCTATTTAAAGTGAGTGTTTATTCACTGGATCAAAAGATAAAAACTGTTTGCACCAGTGAATGAACAGTGGCTATTTACTGAATCATTGAAAAAAATGTACCAGTGTTTGAACAGTTTAAAACTTTCAGTAATATAAATATTTCTTTGTAAAAAAATCGCATACAATTCGCCAGAGATATCACAATTTTTTCATAAATCATATATATATATATATATATATATATATATATATATAAACACTAATTTACCTTTATTTTTCACTTTTATATCATTTTTTTAACAATTTATCGATAAATTTTCACTCTTTCACTCCGCCAGCGTTTCAACTGACAATGAGACGTGAAATTCAATAAGGTTACGTTTTCTATGTCAAATTGAATAAAAAACGATTTTACATTTTAATTTTTTTCTCTGAATCCACTGAAAAGTCCATTATAATTTTTGGATGGAAGAAATTAGTGAATCTAAGCTTTAGAACTTAAAAGTTTGTTTTTACAAAGAAGTAAGGAAAATATTGCATTTCACAGGTATAATGGTTGAATTGGTACTGGAAAATTGAAACTGAGATCTCAGTACCAACTCAGTACTAATTTGGTGCATTTTGGTACTGAAATGGAACTGGGAAATTTACCTGCGAAAAGGGTCGAGTTACCGTTAATACCCTCATAAAAGTGAAAAGCGACTAGCATTTTCTCGGCATTTTCAATATGTTTAAACTAAAACTTTATATTTATTTCAATATTATATTTGTTTTTCATGGATTTATATTATTTTCATACATTATTATGCATATGATATTTCCTTTGTCAGCAAAATTCAAAAATGATATCCATTTTTTTATCAAACTTAAGGTATACGAGATAAATTATAACTTTTTTAAATGTAATTATTTTATGATAAATTTTAGATATTCATAATCTAGAAATATTAACGAATCTCAATATATATTTTTTAAAGTTGAGTTGTTAAAATTACAAATTTTTTAAGCAATAAAACTCGGATTAAAATTGTAATCCTTCAACAAAGGACCTGGGAGTCTATTGTTCAAGGAGGGATTGCAATATAATTTCCAAACTTAACTGAAATTTTCTACAAACTATTATGTTTTTTTGCTGTTTTACACGGATATCGTGAGAGACGTTTTGCTGTTCTAACATACCTTTAAAACTATTGTTAAAGTACTTTAAAAATGTCTTCTTATGGGTTATCAGGTAGTGGTACTGAAGTGGAACTCAAGCCAAGTCCAATTCAGTACCATTCCAGTACCACTCTTTCGGTAGGGTTTTGCAAGTGGTACGGTTTGAAATAGAATGCCCCATAAACAGTCCCCCTCAAACAATAAGCAATGACATTTTCTAAAATCCTCTACTTTTAGAACATCTAAAAAGTGAATTTGTTTGTTAATAAGATCAATTAAGCAATAAAAAAATTTTTTTATTCACTTTTTAGATATTCTAAAAGTTGAGGATATAAGCTTTAAAAGAGATTATTGTTTATTGTTTTATCTTTATTTGAAACAAAAATATAAAATTTGTAACACACCTAAAATTTTGTAGGGTGGACAAAAATAATAATAACAGCCGAAACATTAAAAAGGACAATTTAACTTCTACCAATATAAAAAACCATCCGTTTAAACCCAGCTAAAAGTTCCTGTACAGGATCCTTAAAAGATCCTTAGAGGTTCCTACATAGGATCCTTAAAAGTTCCCTGAGAGATCCTGATAAGAATTCTACGCATGATCTCACTAGGATCTCTTGCAGGATATTAGAATACGGATCCTATACAGGAACCTGTTATTGAAGAAAGATATGTACTTCTACAAAGTTCACGATCTTACTTCTCAAAGAAATGAATTTAACTTAGAAAAATTCCAATAGCTTTTATCTTCAGCAGTTTCTAAGTCCAAGTTGAACTTAGAAAATAACATTACCTACTAATGAAAATTTTTCTATTTTCAAAATTTTAAAAAAGACGTCTTTAAGACATCTTAAAGAAATCTAATGACCAAGAAATAGAACATTCTTATTGGGATCAGAAATCACGCGAAACTGACCCACCCCTGAGCCTTCTTGTGACAACCATCTTGGTTTTTTATCTCTTTCTTTTGTATTTGTTAGAGAAACACGGAATGAAAACATGGCCACCACAACAAGGCTCACACCAGATGGCGTATCGCAGTATTTCAGATCCCAATAGGGAATCTTTTATCACAAGTTCAAAAGACGTCCACAAAAAAAATCTTTAGGACGTTTTTTGAATAATTTTTCTTACTGGGTGGTTAATGTTTTGCCTCAAATACAATCTTTAATGTTTTAAATGTTTAGTATTCAATAGTTATTAACATCGCGATTCAATAACTACAATTTACTTTTGAAAAGTTTCTTTTAATTAATGTATAAATTTTGAAATTGTCCCCGGGAAAAACTGGGCCTAGTTTCCATTAATGTTTCAGCATTCTGTTTAATGTTTATGATATAAATTTATTAATTAATTTTATGTAAAATTTAATATAGTTAATTAACAAAATTTTTGTTCGAATTGGCGTAGTACCACATACCTGTCGATTAATAGTACCACATTGAGGCGAATACGTCAAATACTGTAAATAATTGTCATTGATTTTTTTAAAACCTAAAGTTCACATAAAAAAATTTCAATAATGATAAAGTATTTATTGTTGTAATTGTTTTGTACGATAATAATTATTAATAACTTGTAGACAATTGTATTATTAACTGAAACATTTTAATAACTAAAAATCATTTTGGGTAATCTGTCCAAAATTAAAATACAATAATAAATAGCTATCTTGTCACATAAATGTTGATAATATGAGAAATGAAGTACGCTAAGTGAAAGTGTATGAGAATTTACATATAAGTTATTCTAATATTAGTCTGAGAGTATCACAAATATTCTTCTACAACAAATTATTATTTTAGGCACTGTTTTTTTGTGTTATATGATATTCAAACAATACTTTTGTATTATCAAGTCTAAACATCAATGAAATCAGACTTTTAAGTCATGTTCTGTAGCTAACAGATTCTTCTCTTCACATTGTCGACGTCCCAAAAATATTTAAAAATGTCGAGGGCTATATTCAACTTTTGGATTGAGGAATCAGGAATCCCAGAAAACCACCAACTGTGTTTGATAAATATAAAAGATTAATATCAATAATTAAAGAAATATTATGATTAAAATAAAAGTGGATTTTCTTTACTTACGTAGGACCATAGACGCAACCAAGAAAATTGGAATATCACAACTAATGTCCAGGAGCATTCCAAAAATTAAATTACTAACTATTGCACCTATTCTGCCAAAACAGACGGATAAACAAATAGCCATTGCTCCAACATGAGTTGGAAAAATATCAACAACAGCACCACTTAGGGCAAAATTTGCTGTTGCAATTGCAAGAGAAAATATGCAAGATACAATGAGATTTTGTAGAGATGTTCTTACAAAATAAATTGCTAAACTAGCAATGCCAGCTACTAACATTGTCGTCACTAAAAATTAAAGCAAAATTTTATTAAATAGGAAGAAAAAAATTATGTAAGTATATTTTTATTGATAAAATGTCCTCTTACAGCAAGCTTGCAAAGCAAACTTGGCGCAAGTGTGCTGCAAGTTAGCAAAACTTGACACGATGCGCAGCCCGGTTTAAAATAACTTGTACAGGATCGTGTACACGATATTTAGCATGACCGTGGCCCGATATTACACATGTTCATTCACTAGGTTATGAACAAGTGCAACAAGTGAACATGTGAAAAGAATTGGAACAATGATCTTGTACAAGAACATACATATGAGGCATTTCATATGAGAATACGGGGTCATGTCTCGGATTTTTCTCAAAATTCGGTAAATTGTAGTGATAATGCTGCTAAATAAGTGTACAAATTTTGAATTTGAAATTTTTAATATTTTTCGAGATATTTACAATAACAAATTTGAGCAATATTTTTTTGAAAAAAAAACCTTACAGTAACCTTAAAGGAAGCTTACAACTACCTTACCGTGTAAGCTTACCACAACCTTACCATGTAAACTTACCACGACCTTACTGTGTAAGCTTACCTTAGCTTTACTGTGTAAGCTTACTGTAAGGCGGAAGTTTTAAGATGGCCTCAAGTTTACTGCAGGCTTACACAGTAACCTTACAAACCCTACAGATATCCTTACAGTAACCTCACAGCAAGAAGTCGTGCTATGTGGGAACTATTTCTAATAAACGGGTTTTAAATTAATAATTAATAATAAAAATTATTTAAATAATTAATAACATTTGAAGAAATAAAAATAAATCGTCAATTCTTTTTTTATTTGGAAGATCATCTAATTCTGTGTCAGATAAAACCAGTGTAAATAGCATTTTTAACAATCCAAATTAGTAACAGATGATTATTGAAAATCGTTGTTTCAGAACCCCACGGCACAACTCGTCAGAGTTTGCCTACCTACTAGGCATGGTATCTTTCAGTCTTTCTTTAAATAACATTTTATAATTAATTTTCGATTCTTAGTAATACCTAATATTCTTTTTTTGACTTAGAATTTGATGATCTTCCAAATAAAAAAAGAATAGACGATTTATCTTCATTTCATCAAATGTTATTAATTATTTAAATAATTTTTATTATTAATTATTAATTTAACACCCGTTTATCCAAAATAGTTCATATAGGGTTTGTTGGATGCGGATTTCGATATAATATAATTTTTTTCTAAAAGTTTAAGGTCTTCTGCGTAAAAAACATTTACAACATTTTTCTCTATTTTTAATAGGAAAAAAGTTATAAGTAAAGCAAAAAAATATTGCTCAAATTTGTTATTGTAAATATCTCGAAAAATATTAAAAATTTCAAATTCAAAATTTGTACACTTATTTAGCAGCACTATCACTCATCGATTGAGGGCAGAAACACGCCAATTCAGGCGAATGTTGAGAAACATGACAATCTAAAAAATATTAGGGAAACCTGCCATTCCAGTGAAGATTTCAAAAACATGCCATTTCAGATGTCAAATTTTTGTTGATTGTTTTAGGTTGGTAATACTTTCTTGAGAATGTTATATTATACTGCCCTACAACGGAAGAACACACATAAGCCACATTGTCGCTTTGGTCGAGTTCTGTATATAAACACTGCGAAAGAGCGACTGAAGCGACAATGTGGCTTATGTGTTTTCTTTCGTTGTAGAGCAGTATAGTTAACAAAATTTTATTCTTGAAATCAATATTAAAAATTAAGAAAAGTATAATTATTAATAATAAAATTATTAAAGGTTCTACCGACTTAACCATCAATATTCAACAAAATATTAATTATTTTGACTCATCAATTTTTCGTTTACAGTGTTACCAACCTAAAACAATAAACAAAAATTTGACATCTGAGATGGCATGTTTTTGAAATCTTCAAATTGGCGTGTTTCTGCCCTCAATCGACGCACTACAATTTACCGAATTTTGAGAAAAGCCGAGACATGACCCCGTATTCTCATATGAAATGCCTCATATGTTTATTCATGGTAACTAAAGAAATCAAGCTCTCGAGTCCATGCTCGTGTACTTGTATAAGATCGTGCGCAAGTTCATGTACATGATATTTTAAATGTTTTTAATTTTTGCAAAATTTATGGAAATTTTGAACATTGTTCATCAAGACTCTTTGTTCATACATGCGAAAAACAACTGCGCAGCCTTTAAAGATTTTGATTATAAACTGTATAAGGGAAAACTCAAGATCATGTACATGAACTTAGGCACGATCTTATATAAGCACACGAGCATGGACTCGAGAACTTGATTTCTTTAGTTACCATGAATAAACATATGCATTTTCTTGTACATATTCTTGTACATGTCCTTGTACAAGATAGTTGTTCCAATTCTTTTTACATGTTCACTTGCTGCTCTTATACATGACCTGGTGAATGAACATGTACAAGATCGGTGCACGATCGGGCACAAGATCGTGTACACGATCCTGTACAAGTTTTTTCAACCGGGAGTTGTAAACAGAAGTTCTTACGACTGCGCAATAAATTTTTTTAATGGTACACTCCAAAGCAGAATGCCCTTTATGTTTATTTAGAAACAAAGTGTTTGTAACAAAATTTTTTTTAATATTATACAAGCTTGCTTAACTACTTTGCAGTGAGAGGACATTTTGTTACTTGCACCACCCAGATAGCACATAAACTTGCAACAACCTTGCGGAAAGCTTGCCGCGCAATATTGCCAACCTTGTATGGCAAACTTACCGCAAGCTTCAAGTGTCTCACCTGGCTAAAGCTTGCATGGTAAGCTTACCGAAAGTTTGCTCAGTAATCCTATGGAAATATTGCAGTGTAAGGTTACTACAAGATTCACTGAAAAAAAATTCTAGTTAGAATAACCAGAATTCTAGTTAGAATAACCAGAATTCTGGTTAGGGTATATTTAACATTTTGATTCTGGTTAGGTTAACCAGAATTCTGGTTATTTTAACGAGAATTCTAGTTAATTTAACTAAAATTCTGGTTAACATAACTAGAAAGTAATGTTAAATATAGCCTAACCAGAATTTTTTTTTCAGTGTTGCTCAGTAAACTTGCACGGTAAGCTTGTAGCAAGGTTGCTGCAAGCTTACGTGCTATCTGGGCAGACTTGATGCATGTTTACACTGCAATCTTGCACAACTTGCACGGCAAGCTTCCAGCAAGTTTGCGTGCTGATTAGGATCAAACAAATAATTTTTAATTGTAGTAAGAAATAAAAATTTTATATTTTTAAAAAAATCATTTAGGAGTTTTTTAGCTCGTTTGGATTTTTAAATAAATTAATAAACTATTTTTGAACTAAAAAATTGGAGTTTAGAAATTTTTATAAAGACAATACTTATTCTCAACATGAAGAATTAATATCAATAAAATTAAATCAATTACTACAGATAATATACCTGGTATTGTACGCCGTCCTACTCGATCAGCGAGAAAGCCAGAAGTTATATTTCCCAATAAACAAATTGCGTTGATAATTAATGTATTTACAAACACCTGCTCATTCATTCCGGTGCAAGAAAGGTCTCGTTTACTCAGATTTAAAACATCACTTTTATTTGCGTTATTTATTAATTCGCAAACAGTTACGGAAATATTTGGATGATGTTTATAATGCGACTCAAAACGATTAAACAATTCAGGTAACCAAAGACCAAGACCATAATAACTGTAATAAAAATATAAAAAATAAAAACTGAAGAAATGTATGAGCACAAAAAATAATTTATAAAAAAATTCAAAAACTACAACTTCATTATTTTAATTTATTATTTTCATTATATTATTATTACTAAATATATTATAATATAAACTAACTTACCCAAACATGTTTAAGAAAAATATTAAACAACTAAGAAAAATATATTTTAATAGTGGAGGGCTACACAAAGCTCTAATTTGTTTCCAAATGTTCTTCAAAAATTTTGTTAAATTAAATTCTTCCTCTTCGGATTCTTTTCCTTTTGTATTTAAAATTAAACCGTCATCATTAATAAGATACTTTACCTATTTTTAACAAGAAAACACAATTTATTTATTCTTTTAAAAAAATAGATTAAAGACTTTTAATGAAAAAAAAGTATAAAAAACATTTTTGACAAAAATTTGATAGATACTGTTAATACTCCTATATGTTAAAATAATTCTTACTGGATAATCACTTTCATCGCGACCAGTGTTTCCAGCATAGATTTTTCTTAACACTCTAAGAGCTTCTTCGGGTTTATTTTTTGCCAGCAAAAACTTAGGACTTTCCGGATAATTCATACCTATGAAAGATATAATAAATGAGGGTATGCCAGTTAATAGTAGAAATAGCCGCCACGAGTTAAAAATATATCCATAAACCTTCAGTGAAAATGTTAATGGAATAATTATCCATGCTAAACCTGAAAAGAAAACAATAAAATATTAAACCTGAATTTATTATGGAAATTAAAGTTAACATTGTCCTTGTCAGTTAATAATTGAAAAACGATTTACACAGTATAGGAAGTTTAAATTTCATGTTATAAAGATTTTATTTTTTTAATAAATATTGACAATTTCAATTTTATTATTATTTATATATATATATATATATATATATAAAGCTTACTAACCAGGTAATATTAACCAAGAAATAGTCCAAAAAAATCCAACGTAACAAATGCTTTTTGAACGTTGTTTTTCTGAATGAAACTCTCCCAAGTAGGCAAATACAAGGGCACCAGGCGCACCAATGCTAAAAACAAAATTAAATTGTATATTTTTATTGTTCTCTAAGAGCATTAAAATGTATGAGTTTGATTTATTGACTCACGTGAATCCACTGATTGTTCTAAAACACAGAAGCATTGTGAAACTCTGTGACAAGCTTGCCATCAAGCAAACAAAACTGTCAGCCATTAATGTTCCTAAAAGTATATTTTTTCGTCCGTATACGTCTGAAGCTATACCCCAAACTAATGAACTGACCACACCACCTATTGACAAATGTTATGTTAAAAATTAAATTTTCAATAAATAATTTAAATATGTTTACTTTTATCATTTTGTTTTAAATTAAGTGGAAAATACATATAAATTTTCCATGAAAATTTTTTTAATTTTTAATTTAGTCTGAAAAAGGATTTGGTGAAAAGTTTAGAAACTATATATACTTCATCTTGAAGATTATATTAAAAGCAAGTTAACAAAGTAGATTTTAGAAAAATTATAAAGATACTAACCAACTAAGAACGCTACATTTAAAAATCCTTTTTCTTCAGACGATAGTTGTAAATCACATCCTGCTGCCGGTAAAATATAGGCGTTTACACCATTTTGAAGTCCAGCAGAAAGAAACATAATTCCGCACACAAAAACAAATTTGTAATGAAAGCTTCCATATCCTACAAGAAAAAAATTTATTACACAGGATCACAAAAAGAATTGAAATTTTTACAAAACAAGTATGAATATGATTTTCTGACGTGTCAGGATTTCTTTCTAACCTTAAAAATATATATGTTCAATCGAAGACGTGTCACAAAATTCTCTTGAAGTTGATATCAGAGGAATTTTTAGGGTCGTACGATACTAATTCTTTACCATTTGAAATTCGAAAAATTTGATCTGACATTTTGAATTTTTTTAAAACCTACCTCAGATTCGTAATCAGCGACCTCGAAAACCCCCGAGTAACGATTATCGAGTGGATTTGATGAATTTTTAACGATTTCGACGGACATATTGGATCCACCATTTTGAGTTTTTGAAAATCGTCCTCAGATTCGTAATCAGCGACCCCAAAAACCCCGTGTAACGACTTTCGAGTGAATTCAATGAGTTTTTAAATTTTTTGAAACTAGATGCATATTTGTTATTAAAAATTAAACTTTAATCGACAATATTGTTGCGCCATTTTGATTTTTTTTTAAATCTAGGTCACCATATCAAAGATCAGACATTTTTGACGCGATATTTGTACTTAGACAAAATATTTTAAAATGGTACATTATCTAAAAATATTATAAAGTAAAAAAAATCTTGAGAATTCATGTTTTTTATTAAATAATTGTCTGTCCCCAAGTAGCACGATATATCAACCAGATGTCACGGTGATATCACCGGGGAATGTCACCGTGACATCAGGAAAATGTCAAAATGTCCGCCTTACGGTGATATCACACGGTGACATCGAGGTGATATCATGGTGACATCAAGGTGATATTACAGTCATATCACGGTGATATCATGGTGATATCACCGTGATATCATGTTGATATTTTACAGGGACTTAAAATTTTTAATAATTTAAAAAATAATAATAAATAAAAAAAATAATAAAAATAGTAAAAAATAATAATTTTTAAAAAATTTTAAATCCCTGTAAAATATCAACATGATATCACGGTGATATCACCATGATATCACCGTGATATGACTGTGATATCACCTTGATGTCACCATGATATCACCTCGATATCACCGTGTGCCCTGTTGAAAATTCCTATGTGAGAACACATATGGGATCCCATCCAGGATCTCTTGTGAGTTCTTATGTGGGTTCCCATACAGGTTCACACATAAGATCCTGTATGAAAAGGTTCCTGGGATGAACTTGCGTGAGATCAAGCGCACGATCTTACGTCTCTGTAAAAGCAATAACACAGGATCCCATGAGGTTTCCTGTGTAGGTTCCTATATGAACAACACGATAAATAGGAACACACATGGGATCTTATCCGAGATCTTGTATGAGTTCTTACATAGGTTCTCACATATAAGAAGATTAATAGCAGCTTAATAAGATTTTATAGAATGCTTTTATATATATGCTATTAATCTTCTTATATGTGAGAACCTATGTAAGAACTCATACAAGATCTCGGATAAGATCCCATGTGTGTTCCTATTTATCGTGTTGTTCATATAGGAACCTACACAGGAAACCTCATGGGATCCTGTGTTATTGCTTTTACAGAGACATAAGATCGTGCGCTTGATCTCACGCAAGTTCATCCCAGGAACCTTTTCATACAGGATCTTATGTGTGAACCTGTATGGGAACCCACATAAGAACTCACAAGAGATCCTGGATGGGATCCCATATGTGTTCTCACATAGGAATTTTCAACAGGGTGATATCACCGTAAGGCGGACATTTTGACATTTTCCTGATGTCACGGTGACATTCCCCGGTGATATCACCGTGACATCTGGTTGATATATCGTGCTACTTGGGTCTATTGTTTATTTTTTAATTTACGGATTTTTCTGATGCACCATTTGAAAGAGCGCTTCCGGGGCCATAAAAAATATATATTGCTATTTTTTTATATTGCGGTTTGTTAGTTTAAAAAATTGCCAAACTTTAAGTTAAATTTTTGTACATTTCGTCCTTAAAGAGTTAACTTCAATTAATTACATATAATAGACTTACCACAAAGTTTTAATGCTTTTTCATAATCGGCTGTCTCTTCTTTTGAATGAGAATTATTTTCTGAAAAAGAAAAAATTTTTATTTATTTATTTTCTTTTGAATCATCAGTGTTTAATGAAGACTCTTTAGAAAGCCACCACATTCAATGGAGGTCTTTATCACAACCCGGAAGATTTTCTACTCATATAACATTTTACTGATAAAACGATTTAGTATACATTACTGCCTTGAAAACGTGAGTAAATCAGATATGCATCTCGAATGAACTTTTATAATTTAACATATATTTTATATTTTTGTATCATTTTGAAAACAGTATTATCAATTTAATTTCCTTCCCTAATTCTTTCACTCATCTTTCTTTGACTTAATATATTTTCATAATATTGTAATCACATTACAAAAAACGATTTTAAATAGATAAAAACGACAATTTTTTTCAAAAAGATATACTATTTAACTTTTAAAATGCTTTAGCGGTCTGTGGGGCCGCTATCTAAAATTATTTCGCTTATTACTTTTTTTCAAAATACAATAGAAGTTTGAGCTTTTCAGTAGCTTCTTTTTTTATAAAAAGCTATTACATGACAATTGTTTAAAAATTAAAAAAAATGGAAAAAACAGTATTGTAACAAATAAAAATAAAAAAAATTGCAACAAAATATTATAGAAGTAGTATTTTTAATGTAAAACAGACCGCTGAAAGCACTAAGCATGGTTTTATCCCAGGGTGCATTTTAAAGGTTAAACATGGATGTAAAATACTTCAAGAAAGTACTCTATAATTTTAAACAGTTTACGAGTGTATTTGGAAGTATTTTTGAAAATTATTCATAATTTTTACAAAGTACTTAACACTTTTAAAATATTGAGTAGAATTTAATAATCTATGCAAGAATAATTTATTTTAAATCCAAACAAGTAATATTAATTAATTGCGAGAATTATATGGAAACAATGTTCAATAGCGAAATTTTGTGTTGTTGTGTTATTGTTTGTTAGTTGTTTGGTAGAAAAATTGTTAGAATTGGGTTGTTAACACAATTTGTTTTGTTAGTTAATAAATTCAAAAATTATTTTTTTCATAAAAATTTTTTTCCGTATTTCATAAACTGTAATCGTTTATTATTTAATTAAAACTTAATTTATTATCCCCGATATAAAATCGTGTAGCACAACGTATATAAATTGGATTTGGTTCTCTGTTTGGTTTAAAAGAGCACCTTATTATCGTTAAAATAAAATTTTTGACAATATTCGCTGAACTAAAAAACTTTAAAAATGTATTTTTTAAATCAATAATATTTAATAGGTTAACATACTACTTAAAATTACTATATTTAAAACCAATTAATACGAATTGAATCGAATTTTAAAAGGCCGCATTTCTCTTTACCTAAATTTTATAAATTACAATTTCCAATTAACCGTTATATCATACTAGTTTTGTAATTATAAATTTTATCAAATACCAATTTTTTAAACAAATTTCTAATAAATAAAATATTTTTTATATTTCAAAAACCATAAACCTTTTTATTTATCATATAATAAGTGTGTGCTTCTTTCTTTAATCAGTAGTCGCAGAAATATTCATATATAGGATATAAGTGTATTTTTTGATAAAATGCATTTCGCATTTTTTACTTTTCTATTGTTCAATTGAATTAGTTTACAATTCGAAAATAGTTCTTACAATATTAATTTTATTACTTTGTCTAAGGCGGAAAATCGAAACTATTGTTTTCTCACTATTTGGAAACTTCCAGTAAATTCTTATCTTCACAATTCAACACCATGTTGAGAAATCAAAGATTAAATTGAAAAATTATAGCATTAGAATATTTTAAAAGCACAATTGTTAAGAATTATTGTTATTTAATGTTAATGATAAATTATTGATGGATATTTTAAAGGAATTACTTTAATTATTTTTAATTTTAAAAAAATCGGACAAGTGCGAGTTACACTCGAATTAAAAATACGCATGTATACCAAATATGAACTGTCTTGGTCAAATTGTGTGTGCGCTAGGAGGATTAAACAATTTTTTTCAAAATTTTTTATTTTTCCTTGACAACGCTATGTAAATCGATCCGAATCATGTTCGCTATATTTTTCCTGTAATTTTCACGTAAAAATGCATAAGTGTACCAAATTTGAGATCTCTATGTGAAAAGATGTAGCCACCAGTTGGGGGGTACATAGTCATTTTTAGGGGTTTTTCGTCAAAATTCATGGTTTTTCCTTGACAACGCTATGATAATCAATTCCTATGAGATTCGCTATATTTTTCCTGTAATGTACACGCCAAAATATATATGTGGACCAAATTTCAGCCCTCTAGATAAATTCGTGTGGCCGTTAGGGGGGGGGGGTACATGCCTTGCTTCACTAGTCTCATTAATAGGGTTCCCCCTTCGGGTACGGAACCCTAAAAAAATTGAATAAATTTCAAAATTTTATTAAGGACCCCTAATAGTTTTCTCAATTTATATATAGTAGCCCACTTAGTATTTTGCAGAATTTTCATTAAACCGATTTTCTATATTACAGAAATTTATATAACCGAAAATTCACTTCACATAATTTTTTTTTGTTCGAATTTTTATTTAACATAATAGGCATTTTAAAGAATTTTAATTGGGAAGAATTTCATTGAATTATTATTTTATATAATTTCCATATAACTAATTTTTCATACTACAGAATTATCACTTAACCGAAAAATCATTTAACAGAATTTCTAATTGATAGAATTTTCATTTGTCCAAAATTGGAAATGGCTGAGCAAACAATGGACAGAAAGATTTCGGTGCAATTTTTAAAATCAACCAATCAAAAATTACACAGAAAATTAAAAGGCATTAAAATAAGCTGCAACGCTTATTATTTTAATCCAATTTTGCTTATTTTAATCCATTTTGGTATTAAAATAAGCAACATTGGATTAAAATAAGAAGCGTTGCAGCTTATTTTAATGCCTTTTAATTTTCTGTGTAAGCATAAAATTGTGATTGATTGATTTTAAAAATCCAGTCGAAATCTTTCTGTCGATTGTTTGTTCGGCCATTTGTAATTTCGGACAAATGAAAATTCTATCAATTAGAAATTCTGTTAAATGATTAATTTTCAGTAAAGTAAAAATTCTGTAGTATGGAAAATTGGTTATATGGAAATTATATCAAATAATAATAATTCGAACAAATGAAAACCCAATTAAAATTCTTTAAAATGCCTATTATGTTAAATGAAAATTCGAGTAAATTTTTTCTAACCTCAAAAAACCTGACCAATTTTATGCGAAGGACACAATTTTTTTAAAATATTGACAGATTTACTTTAATTTATGTATCTAAAGGTTTTTGGGCTCACTGATTACGAATTTGAAATAAAATTTTTAGTATCCAAAATTGTGGATTTAATATGGTAGTAGAATTTTTAAAATAGTGAAACGACAGTTCCCATATTTAACTATATCTATATATATAAAAAACGTAACGCATGTTATTTGTTTTGGGCTTTAAAAAAGTTAAATAAGCTTGGTACCAAGAAAAATATTGAAAATATTATTTTGCACGAAATTTTGAATATGAATAATCTTGTACTGAAATTTCGGTAAAAATCATATTGCACAGGAAATTCAATAAGAATTATTTTGCACTGGTATTTCAATAAGCACTATATCAAATGGAAGCATCCATGTACAAATAATATAAGTATATATACACATATTATATAAATAAATAATACATTGTTTGTTTTTCTGCTTTGTAATATAAATCTTCATTTAAGAAAACAGTTATAGTGACATTTTCCAGATAATAAGAATAATTATATCGTAAATTACAAGAGTAACTTATATACTAACGTCAGTTTCGTTTTTGTCAGTTAGTCATGTGAGTTATATAGTTACGAAATTAAATTGTTTCGTGAAGATATTATTTTTACATACGTCAATTTTTACGCAATAATTTTCTTGTGATTGTTACTATCTTAATTAAAAATTGCACGTGCTAAAAAAGAAAAGACATTAAATATTGATATTAAATGTAGTATAAAACTTATCAAAAATTCCTGAAAATTATCTGAAAAACTGTATGGATATTGCATTATAAAAATAATATTTTGATAATTTTTATCTACATTGTAAACGAAATATTATTATATACATATTTAATTTATTTGATTTTTGATTTATAAAATTTTTCTGATGTAGACAATTTAATTTTTTTTAAATTAACTTTTTTGAAATTTAAAATGATACTTATACTCTAAAAATCGGAATTAATAGAAAACTTTAACAGCTAGTTGGAATAGTAACATTCTACTATAGCATATTAGTGAAATACAGTTAATTCCGTTTTACTATTGTTTCAGTAATGTTTCTACTAATAATTAGAAACATATCTAATTAAATATTCAGTTATTTTTCAGTATTAATCACTGTTTGTGTTTGCTGATTATATTATTTTATATTTGTTATTATTCTATATACCAGTTACACTGTGGAAAACATTTTGCTTTCACAGCAAAACATTTGGTTGATACTTGTGTAAAAAAACTTGTTTTATTTATTTTATTTTTGATTGCAACAGAGTAAAAAAAAAATTTTCGTTATAGTTGATTAAAATTTTGGACTTGCAGAAAATAAAATTTTTATTCATGTTTCTAAACTTTGGTTGAGCGACATGTAAATTTTTGTTAAGGTAATAACAACTAAATGTTTTGTTGTTTCAGACAAATATTTTTCTCAATGTATCATTAAAATTGTAATTAAAAAAAACAGCTTCTTGAAGTATAGTACAATAAGTAAGGATGTTAATAAAATCATCTGCTCTCTTATGTTACAATAGATTGTCGTATTATTGTGTATTGTGCAAGCAGACGCAAACGATTCTGTGACAATTTTATCATATTTACTGTCAAAGCTAGTAATTAAATTTAAAAAGACGTACTCCACACACGTATTATGCTGTACAATACATTAATGTAATTCATAATGGGTAAACAGACTTTTCAATTTATATATATATAACATTAAACCGTTTTATAATTTTTTATAAATATATCATGTTACCTTCACGGAAAGTCATATTGTATAAAAAAAATAATTTATTGTTAGTTTGTTTACAATATTAAATAATTCAACAATATAAGGAATTAAATTAACTATAGATTCTTCAGGATATTCAAAATTAAAGATTATAATTATTATTTTCATCTTCTATTTATATATAAAATATATAAAAGAGAAATTTACTTAAAATTTATATAAAACAGCTAAATATAAATAAATAAATACATAAATGAATGTAAATTCAATTTGCAGAAAATCTGTAAAATTTGTAGCAGACTTTTATCAGACTACTGTCTGAAGAAAGTCTTCAGAGAGAAATTATTGCATACGTTCTGACAAAATTATGGTTATTCAAAAATAATATAAAAAACATTTGTTTAAAGAAATTATATAATCAACTGTTTTTAATTTAAGTATAAACCTCACTGGAAAATTTAATTAATACAATTATTATTATTATTATCAATAATAATACTATAATATAATAATTAAAAAAATACAAAATTTTGGGGAAAATTCTTCTGATTTACCTAATTTCTGTTAATGTACTAGTAATTTCTGGCATACGCGTCAGGTAAAATCGAAATAATTTTAATAAATTTTTTTTTACGTGCATGAAGCGTTTTACAGAATACAAAAGTCTAAGAAAATTACAAAATGAACAAATTTTAAATAATGTATGAACAAATTGAATAGACACAATTCGTAATTTATTTTTTTACAGAAATTAAAAACAATCATTTTTATTATAATTTATAGACCAATTATAAATAGTCTATAAACTGGAATAAATATTCTCTCCTATACAGAAAAAGATTTAGAGAAATATGCATTATGAAAATTAAACTTGTATTTTAGAAAAATTCTCTATTAAATGAAGGTATACTCTTTAAAGTTGCAAGTTTTGAATTTTTTAGGCCTAAAAAGAACAACTATTTTCAAACAACAATTTTCGTTTTATACCTTATAACATAAATTTATTTTTACGGGTTTTAATATTTTCGATCGTCGGCTTTAGCTCATGAGAAAAATTGTCAGTCTATGAAATTTTTTAGAAAAGTACATCAATTATTTTAAAAAAAAAAATGATTGCGTATAAACCAATCTATCAGTATAAATTTTGTGAACTACATTTCACAAACATTTTTATTAGCTAAAATTGTTTCTAAAATTACTATTACAAAGTATTGAAGTATTGAATGTCAAATTTTTAAACTAAATAAATTAATTCACTTTCAAGAAAAATCTAAACTGTGTTATTAATATCTTAAAAGAAAATCTTTATTTCAACATAAATTCATTAAAAAAATGTTTAAAAATACAATTTAATAATGTAATGCATTTTTTTTATTAATCAACTTAAAAATTTGAAATGATTTGGAAAAAAAATATTGAAATTTCCTTCTAAAAGATACTTTCTATATTAATCGATAAAAAATGGAAATAATTTGAAAAAGAAACTTTTTTTTAATTATCCGAAAGATTTTCACTTTTCTCATTAGTCATTATAATGTTTAATGTTTTCAAGAAAGTATCGAACACAAAATTAATTTTATGCTTTGTTCTTTTATAAGTATTATATGAAATAAATTCGGTATATTTTATAAAAAGTTTTTCTAAAAAGAAATTTTTAAAACTTTTAATTGAAATTATTTAAAAACAATATAAATTGCGTTAAAATGTTCGAAAATAAAATTATATTTTTTTATTTACCAATGCTAAAAGAGATGGACGTAACTTGATTGACCATAATGCTTGTCTTAAAATTATTATCCCCTGAGATCTGAATGTATTGCAAAGGCACTATTTTATCACAAAACAAAAAAAAAATTAAAATTAATTGACAGATGCGTTCGTTCCGGAGCTTTGCTTGTATCAAACAAGTCGGCTTCTGTCAGTGAATATCGTTTAAATATTATGTCATGCGCGCTCAACATCTTTAGCATTATAAGAACCTGGGTGGGTATCAACCAGGTATCCAAAGTATGAATTCCCCTCTTTTTCTCAACTACCAACTTTCTTACAATTTATGTCTTCTTCAGTAAAGGGCGTTAATTGGACGCGACAAAATGACTTTCTTCGTTTATTAATACACTGAGAAAAAAAATTTAGTGTTTGCAACAAAATTGTTTGGTTAGGCAATTTTGGTTCTTGTAAACAAATTTTGGTTGGCTGAAACAAAGTCGTAGTTGGTTAGGCCAACAAAATTATTTGGTTGAACATTTTTAAATTCCAATCAAAATTTGGTGACAACCAAATAATTTGATTCGCTCTCAGCTCATAGCTTAAGAGAACAGTTAGTTTCAATCTCTCACAAGAATGGGTAGTCCAGTGGTCAGAGCTCCCGACCTTCAGTTTTAAAACAGAGGTTCGATCCCAGACGGAGATGAGATTTTTCAAAGTCCACAAATATTTCAATGGGATAAATATAAATTCAATGTTAAATTGATAATAAATATATAAAAAAGATAAAAAGAAAAGAGATAAGGTAGAATAAAATTTTTAATTTTACAAAAAAAACTGTTTGTTTGATCAACCAAACAGTTTTTTGACCTAACAAAAAAAACTGTTGGTTTGATCAACCAAACATTTTTGTTATGCCAACAAAAAACACTCAACCAAATTTTTTGGTTGACTCAAACAAATAGTTTGGTTGCTTAAATACCAACAAAAATTTTTTGTTGGTCCAACCAAATTTTGGTTGCTCTGACTAAACATTTTTCTCAGTGTATTGTCTGAACATCAGTATAAACTAATATGTTATTGTAATATATAATAATTTCAAAAAAATGTGTGCAGAATGCATCTTTATATAACAGCAGTGCGCGTAAAGTATTTACTTTATGTACTGCTAGCAATGCGTAAAGTGAATACTTTCCGCATTGTTATAATTGTTTAATTAAAGAGGAAGGTTAGAGGGCTACAAACTTATAATTTTAATACACATTTCTTCTAATTCAATGTTTTCAAACTTTTAATTTTAAAATTCCTCTACTCCACCTAAACCCAGGTGCGAATTAGGGTCGGCAGCCAGAGTTGGTCGGTCGGGCCATGGACGGCACATCTACGGCTGCCAAGACGTCGGCAGCCAAAGTTGTCCCTACTTTGGTTACTACTTTCACCCAAAGTTGGGCCGATTGTGGCTACCAAGGTTTAAAATCCAGAATTTTCAATGGTCGGGCCGACTCTGGCCAAAGTCGGGCCGATGGTCGGTTAAACTGCGGCAGCCGAAGTTCAAAATTCAGAATTTCCAATGGTTGGGCCGACTCTGGCCAAAGTCGGGCCGATGGTCGGTTAAACTGCGGCAGCCGGAGTTCAAAAATTAGAATTTCCAATGGTCGGGCCGACTCTAGCCAAAGTCGGGCCGCAGTTGGGCCGACCATCATATTCGTAAAGTAAATTTCTTTACATTCATGGCCAAAATAAAAAATTTTTGTGACATTTTATTTAACTAAAATGGATTAACTAAAAAATTACAAGGATTATCTGATTTATTTTTCATCATGAATTACAAACTGGATTTTTCTGAAGTTGGAGCTTATGAAATCATTTTTGTCCGTAGACTTTCATGTAAGCGTGGCGTAATGGATAGCGTGTTAGACTTCGGTGCGTTAGGTTGCGGGTTCGATCCTTGCGAGCGATAAATATTTTTAAAATGTATGTATGTATGTATAAGATTGTCTTAAATGTTAATGTGTATGCAATAAATAAATGATGAATTTCAGACTATACCCAATATATGTTAATTATATAATTAATAATTTTTACATTTTTTCCAAAGGAAAGTCTGAATTTCAGACTATACCCAATATATGTTAATTAATATAATTAATAATTTTTACATTTTTTCCAAAGGTCGGCCTAACTTTGGCAGCCATAGTTGGCCCGACTCTTTTAGCCATTGGTCGGTCCAACCATTTCTACCAAAGGTGGGCCAACAATGGTTACCAATGTGAAGCCGACCTTCATTGTTTGCCGACATGGTCGGCAAAACTTTGGCGTCCATGGATGGTCCGTCTTTGGTACCAATGGTCGGTCCAACTTTGTCAGCCATTGGTCGGCGGATGTTATCAATTCGCTAGTTCGGCCGACCATCGGCTGCCAAAGTCGGACCGAACATTCACATGGTTGGCCCGACCATGGCCCAACCGACAATTCGCACCTGGGAATTGGCATCTTCAAGTTTAGGTGATTTAGTGTTGCAAAAAATATTGTATGACACTCGTATAATCAATGATTTAACGCACTTGTATTACATAGAAAAAAAAGTTAGCTATTAGCTAACCCCATAATTGTTATTACATGGATAGCAATCATTGTTAGCTAATGCAGCTAACAATTAGCTTCCAAAGCTAATATGTTTTGCTGTCACAGCTAAACATTACCTATACGCCTATACCAAAGCTAAAAAATTAGCTATTCATATATATAATAGCAAACTCATAATTCTCTATGTACTGTAGACTTCAAATTGCTAATTAACCCCTTGACAGTCCAGGGCCCATATGTGGCCAGAAAAAGTCGTGCCACCTTTGTGCAAGTGGCCATATATGGCCATCGCAAAAAAATAATACTAAATTTAATTTGATTCGCCTGAAATTTGTTACTCGGGGATTTTTGGGGTCGCTGAATCCAAATTTGAAGTCAGATTTCAAAAAAACAAAATGGCGGACCCAAAATGGCGACCATGAAAACTTAAAATTTATCAGATTTACATGAAACTCGTTGCTCAGGGGTTTTCGGGGTCTCTGATTACGAATCTGAGGTCGGTTTTTCAAAATTCAAAATGGCGGATCCAATATGGCAACCCAATATGGCGGATAATTTAAAAATTAATGCGTTTTGACCACAAATTGTTACTCGGGGGTTTTCGTAGTCGCTGAATTCGAATTTGAGGTCAGTTTTTCAAAATTCAAAATGGCGGATCCAATATGGCGGACAAATTTTTAAAAAATCAAACCGATTTGCCTGAAATTTGTTACTCAGGGGTTTTTGTGGTCGCTGAATTCGAATTTGAGGTCAGTTTTTCAAAATTCAAAATAGCGGATCCAATATGGCGGACAAATTTTTATAATTTTTTTTTAAAATTTGTCCGCCATTTTGAATCCGCTATTTTGAATTTTGAAAAACTGACCTCAAATTCGAATTCAGCGACCACAAAAACCCCTGAGTAACAAATTTCAGGCAAATCGGTTTGATTTTTTAAAAATTTGTCCGCCATATTGGATCCGCCATTTTGAATTTTGAAAAACTGACCTCAAATTTGAATTTAGCGACCCCAAAAACCCCCGAGTAACAAATTTCAGGCAAATTGGATTGATTTTTTAAAAATTTGTCCGCCATATTGGATGCGCCATTTTGAATTTTGAAAAACTGACCTCAAATTCGAATTCAGCGACCACAAAAACCTTAAATATGATGAAGTCATATTTTTTTGGAAACTTTTTTTTCGGACCGTTTTAGGCCTACCAGCGATTTTTAACTGGACTGCGAAGGGGTTAATTACCACACCGAAAAAAGGTATGAAATTAATTATTTTATTAATAAATTTTGATAGTTAATTTTTTATGCTTGAATTATCTAAATTTTGAATAATAATTATGTTTAGAGAGTTATTGAACTTAAGTTATTGAAATTAATATGTCGCAGTACCTACTTTTTGGTTCAGATCTATCTATCTTTGTTAGTAAAATGTTTATTCCTGCGCAATTACACAGACAAATTGTAGAATTGCTTATGTTTCACGACGTGTCAATTTCATGTTCTGTTTAGTGGTGAATTCTCAAATTAAATCAGTAAAACTTGAAGTAAGGATGAGGGTCAATAAGGCCGTTTTTTGGGCCCTTCTCAAATCGGTTGATATTATGAAAAATTTGATCTCCTTAATATGCCAGATAGACAATCTCCCTAAACCGATTTTTGATTTATCAAAAAATACCGGAAATAACTCATCCTAAAAAATTGTAAAATACATATGGGATTTAGTATAACTTATAACAGTTAAGTGCCACAAAGAAGCACAAGTGGGAAATGAAACAAATGAATGACTACACAACTTATATTTTTTTCAACATATTAAATCCGCCATTTTGAATTTTGAAAATTTTGCATATCTGACACCAAATTCGTAATCAGCGACCCCTAAAACCCCCAAGTAACAATTTTGCAGCGAATTGGATTCGATTTTCAAAAATTCAATCTCCATATTGGATATTTTCTTTACTACATAATACAAAGTTTTTGGAAAGTTAAGTGACCGGGGCTTTTCAATGACAAATTAAAATTAACTAATCTTTGCTAAGATGTACTGATTCTCATATGTATTTTACAATTTTTAAGGATGAGTTATTTCCGGTATTTTTTGATAAATCAAAAAACGGTTTAGAGAGATTGTCTATCTGGCATACTAAGGAGATCAAATTTTTCATAATATCAACCGATTTGAGAAGGGCCCAAAAACGGCCTTATTGAACCTCATTCTTTTATTGAAAATTAAATAGTAGTACTTAGGAGACTTAGTGAAATTAGCTATATTCATATATACCTATACATATATAGTAAATATATTGTTTTCTATTCATCTTCTAAAGTTTTATAAACGCAAGTGTGTGATTAGAATCAATAAATACGCAAATTATTATTATAAAAGTTTCTAAAACTAACTTTCAAAAAACTATTCACTTGTGCTTTTTGCACATTACGTTTGATGTAATGAAGTTATTGAAAATATTTAAAGATAATATGAAATACTATGTTTCGTGACTTATCAAAAGAATTTTAATTTCAAGACAACATATGTAAAGAAAAATTAGAAATTGCGTCAGTGAAAAGTCACATTTTAAATAATTATTGCAGTGAAGTTAGTTAATTTCTAATCAATAAACAACTGTAGCAATTTTTTAAATTTTAAAAAAAATTTGTTTCCTGTA